ATGTTTAGGGTCTTACTCCCAATGTTTTCCCGCAAATCCGCCTGTGTTGACATGGCTTTTCTTGTTGTATAGTAAGAATGTGGCGAGCCTTTGTACCGGTCTCAACTAACCAACATTATACCACATGAACCACCGCGGCCTCAAACGTTCCTTATAAAACCAGTCGAAGTGATTTCTTTTGTTACCGCGACATTGAGATCCAAAATTGTTTGATATTGCCCTATGCCATTAGCTACTTGATAACAATACAGATTTGGAACCTAAACTGAATTTAAGTAAGGTAGCGGGGAAAGTGATATCTTTGTCCTTTTGTAACAAGACACGGGAAAAAACATGAGTGTGAAGCAAGGTCGGAAGCCCTGTGTGTTCGGTAGCGTGGCTGTTTTCCTTGGCGCACGTTCAGGTGCGGTTGCTACCGTCTCCACGTGAGGTTGCTAGGGTCGACCACAAACGAGTAACAGTGATATCTCCTCATTAACTTTCACATAATCTTCTTACTTTTACTTTTCGAGGTCGCTTCGTACGTTTTCTTCCCAAAAATTGTGGTTTAATTGGATTTGAATATCGCCGTGCCCTCCAAAGTGGATTAGTAACCAAGACGCCACCGGTTCCCCCGTGTTGACTCTGCTACAATGTGTAGCGCCATGTCCAACAAAGGCAGAACACAATACATCTCACTAAAACGAGGGTTCAAGGAGGTTTTTTTTCCACAATGGTGGGGCCACCCGGTATACTCTTAGGACAAACCAACCGTAAAATCATCTGAAAAAGGCTACAAGTCGACTCAAATTTCCGACATTACTTTGTCAAGTTCAAGCATGTTTCATCACTGCCCCCCTAACTGTTATAATAGCTATACATTGGAGTTTCATACTGATGTACTGAATGTCTTCTGTGATCGTTATATTTTGTTAGGCGGTTGCTAAGGAAAGTATATTGTACTTACGTCTTTGCTGGAGCTCCTTCTGTTGAACAGAGAGGAAGTCTGCGTCAGTCATGTCTTGCGGGTTGTCCGGCCGTGGTTCGACGGACGCCCGACGCATGTAGTCCCGCACGGCTTTCCGTACCCTCTCCTGGAGAAGTGCCGTCCCCGTGGCGAAGCGGGCCGAATTCGGCGTGTCCAGAAATCCCTTAAAACCAGGAGGAGCATGGATACTTACAAACTCAATACCACCACGTTTCGGCATGGTTCCTAGCGTCCTAATAACTCACTAAACTAGGAACTAACGACCGACGTCGCTACTATAGACCAACGACAGCCACATAGAACACCGCCACACGAACACATAGTCGTGCGTAGCGACAACAAATTTGTAAAGCAAGAAAACTGCTCCTGTTGTGATATTTCGTCCTGTATGTTCAGAAAGTTGTTGCCTAAACTTCTCTGCAGTAAAAGGAAAGCTAGACAAGAACAACAGGAGCTGAATGGGTTTGGCGACACTCAACACCGGGGTTCCAAGGTCGGGAACAGAAAAAGTGGATAAAGATAGCCCGTAAGGTCATGGGTGTGACGTATGACACTGATAGAGTACTTCTCAATGGCCAGTGACCCAAGCCTAATATCCTGATTTATAACGGCCATGGCGCTGCGTGTGGGTCTGTGAGGAACAATGTCAGCAAAATCTTTCACAGAAAGAATTCTTAAAACGTCTGAATTCTGCTATTGGTCTTCATGGCTAGCTCGACGAAAACTACTGTTGTTTCATTGAAAGTTGTTCATTAGTGGAGTGGCGATTGTCAAGAGGTGGGTGTAGCCCTTCACTTACTATGGATCACAAGTATTTTTGAGTCGCAACTATTTTGTATCTAACTCACGTTAGGGATATCATATGATCATTGAGCGTCATTTCGATATCGGCTTATGACGATTGACTTGTAGAAAATACCCTATAAAATGTAGATAAATTTGTTTTACCATTTCGAAAGCAGTCTTCTCAGCATAATGTACTTCTGCCATATAAATGAAGTGGTGATATTCAAGTTCTAAAATGACAGTCAATTCGGTCTCATTTACACAGGTATCTAACAAGTATCTATCAATTACGTGCGATGATACAATGAAACTACTTAAGCTTTTGATAACATCCATTATATATAATGTAGACCTATTGAACGGCCGAACAGCGACCTGAGAACCACCAACAATCCGACAATACCGGAGTGGCTGCTGTTGCTCTAACGCTAATTGCCATCAACGTATCACGTAAGCACCAGAACCAATTAGCCTAGAAAAGCACGGTAGAAGGACCGCCGGGGTAGTTATTGGGTGACAGTGACTTCTGTTTTGGCAACAAAATATAACTATAAACGAGATGTATAGGAAGCAATTATCACACTATAAAATATCCCGTACCGGATGTCACATTGTTTGACCAAGGAGGTCCTTGGTTTGACGGAGTTGTATACTTTTTACAAATTCAAGAGTAAGCTTTTGGTCATAAAGTTTTACTGCCAGTTTGACGATGAAGGTATGTGCGCTCACGAAACCAAACAAAGTACATAGATTGTAAAATTTGTCATTCAAACATATCTAGCCAGAGTGGGTTCTACACACGGCATGACGGTAAACACGTGTAAAACCATTTCCCGTGGCCTTTAGGTAGCAACCACCTGTTGACCCGGAATATTTCAAACTACAGGTGCGCCCACACGTCATATATCCAAAATGGGACTCGTGAAATCTTACCGTCCTGGGGTGAGGGTTATTCCGTCGGCCGGGAGAGAAAGGTCTCGGTTTAGGTTGCTTCATGGGTCGCGGCTTCTTGTAGTCGTCGCTGTAGCTGGTCTTGGGTGTCCTGAGGTGGGCCGGGACTTGCGTCTGTGGCGGCATGGTGGTATCGGCTTACCGGGACAGTTCCGGGGGACGTACCGTAACCCTACACGGACTCTCGTGCTTCGATATGGACACGGGAAAGTGTGCCACCGCAGCTGGAGTACAACACTTCAGGCCGGCGCAGCACGCTCGTCCGTCTGTACTTCGGTACACCGTGGCCCACTTCAACCACACAAACACACAAAATACCTAGGGCAACGCTTAGGACTCAATCAATCGGTCGTCATTTACGAACCATTGAGGACTCTTGCAGGAATTCTCGCTCATTGGCCGCGACATTAGTTACACAAACAGGTTTAAAACGCTCGGAATGACCTATGAAACCTCTCGCCAATCAGCGGCTTTAGATGAACAAGAGTGACACAAGTAACTTTTCACTACATTCACTCATGCGTCATACTTTCCGACTGGTAATTGAAAGGTGTCATTTTAAGAGTGGCTCGGCCAACATACCTGCAGTTCCTCTCAGAATCAATTTGACAGCCCCTCCGGCCTGGATTAATTCATGCGATCACAACCAGCAAATAAGGGCGGATAGACCAAACAAATGGAGCAAATACGTGATTTGGAAAAGGTCGCCGAGGGCTGTTGCCATAAACGCTATCGTGGTTACCATGGTGTTTGCGTCACTTGGCTCCAGGCGATGAAAAAACGCCCTGCGGAGTTAAAGATTGACCACTTTTGTTCTCTAAAGAATTGTTCAGCATTCTATTCGGCGACAACCTGCCCGCCAGGTCACTCTGAAAGGCTCTTGAGAAAATTAATCAACAATCCAAGTCCTTTTTATCAGACTGATAGTCATACATACTTGTAATGAGAAGCAAACACGTTCCGGCCCAAATAACCTGAATGCCTTACTTGTAGCAAAAAAGACTGCTGTACTATTGATAATACATATTATACATATGTCTGTTTGTAGACGAAAATAAACACACAAAAGTCGACCAGTTGCTGTATGGTTCAGCTATGTTTTAACAATACCTTGCACGAGGACGTTTTATTATAGCTGTACCAATAAATTTGTCAATAAGTCAAAAGTGTGTAAATGGAAACTTCACCTTGACTCTGCACGTTCAGAATTTACGACAGCTGTATTGTAGTGAGAATTGGGTTTGGCCTATAACTTCCACCGCATAATGGCTACTTCTCAAAGGCTGTCAGCAGGTAGATTGTTTTGTGTGTTTGTACATGTGGGATGTAACTAACAACATACACCAGTCCTACTCAGTACAGAATCTATAAGTCTTAGGCATAGTTCTACTAACTTCAAAATAACAGCTTACAACCTCAGACCAGTTTCATTCTTATTTTTATTGTTACTTCTTCAACTGTACAAAAACATATTCAACTTCAGCACAGCATGCACCAGAGTCATTGCTGTTTTGACAAATTCATGACATGCATTCTAATACAGGCTACCAGTCTCTACTTGACTAACGGCTTATTTCCCTGCTTTACATAAACTGGGGTTTTCGCATTCAATTCATTCCATGGAATTTACACATAGTGCTATTAGTATTAGTACCTGGCACCAAAAGCTTCCTTTTACATACACAAGAGTTGTGCTAGCCTGGTATACATTCCTTATGAAGTTGTATCTCCAATTTGCTCCAATGGTCACTTCCATTTTGAAGGGAGCAACTGTTGGAGTGAAAAGGAAGATACCAGGCTGGAGGTATCCTACCATCATAGAGGCAAGCAAGCCTGACATAACTTCATAAAGTCTAGAGTCTAAGATGTCTGGAGCATTTGCGACATTATTTTGTCCCTTGTACAGCCAGCAAAAAATTGCACAAAACATCACAGTCATCCTTACCAAGCAGTAACTGACATGTGAACCTCTGAACTAATATCAAGTGTGTTTTTGAACTTGTGCTAAAAAATGCCCCACCCTGGAAGGAAATTTCTATAAATCAGATAAGCAGTTCCAATCTTCTATCACATTTCAGTCAAATTTATGGTACACTTATTACAGGTAAGGCCATGCTAGAAAGGGGTCAAACAGCCATCAAACTTACAATGTGGTTGATAGCAACTATGTGTGAGGGGTCTGCACACTGGGCCTTAACCATGGCCAGTGTGAATAAAGCTGGCATATACCTTGGGCCATTCATATCAAGTTATCACATTGCCTGTAACCCTATTGGGAATGACATATCTCATGCACTACTACTTCCAATAACCTCACTAGCATCATCTACATCCATGCATACTAAACCTCTCTCAACCCTTCCTCAAACACACAAGTAACAGTTAAACTGTTATCAGTTCTCCCTGAAAAATCAAATACTGCATTGCTAATTTCTGAAACATTTGGTAATCAAGAACATGCATATATATGGTACATTCTGGCCCTTTGGTGTGTCACAGATATACATGTAACATTACATACATTGTGGCCTAAAACATGCATCTAGGACACAGCAGCTTTTTGTCCATTTCCTGGTCTACATGTACACTTGCTTCTGGTGTCGTGACCCCTTCACTGGTGCTTGACTTTGACCTTGATGGTGTTGATGCTTGTGACAAAGTTGTACAAGAAGTGGAAGTTCTGTGGAACAGGCAGGAGTAAGTGTCAGTGGAGGGGAACAATGGTTAATTGAACCTCTAACCACAAAACCATGACGTGAATATGTGGTATTTCTACTGTACTACAGAACTGTTTCAACCCCAAATTTCAAACACCATGAAAACTTTCTTTCCCACGTACTGAAAAATAAAACCAGTGGATGTACAGGATAACCTTCATCTACACCATTCTCAACATTTGGGCCTAAAGATCTAAATACCCAACTTCCATCTAGATCTAGAGAACAGGTCCATGTACTTACAATGATGGCCACGTACACCAGACCCAGGTACACAGCAATCCCCACTGCCAGGAACAGGTCAAACACAGCTGGCTTCACACTAGACACAGAAGATACACGTAGTGGTCAGAATACTTAAAAAGCACATGACATCCATATATATAACAAGATAAGAAGGAGTTCTTCTGACAAGAGATGTCAGGAGTAGTTCATAGCAAAATACAACTGATAAATACATTTTACACACAATACATAATGTCAACTTCTCCCAAAACTACATGTATGTACATGTAAAACAAACTACCGGGGTACATGTGGTTCTAATGCCTGTAGGGAGCAGGTTTAGATGTTTCTCCACAAGAAAATAAATATGACTGTTCTTAGTATGAGACAATTGAATATGGTACAACATGATCTATATTTTTTTCTACTGTCCTCCATGACTAGACTCTCCATCAGACAACAGTTCAAGTCTTGTCAGTGATGACACTGTGCAGTACAAGCTGCAGGGTTACCCCATCAGCATACTACACTGTCTGAAGCACCTGTCTGCATAATGGGGCCAGGCGGAAACATCAGTCTTATCATAGAACAAAGGGCAGGCCATTAATCACTTCATTAGCATACAGGTTAAATTGCTGTAATGATCACAGTCTTTGGACTGACAATGACAGATATCAGCTGGGAGATTGGAAATTATTTTCCAACCACTTACACAGTATGTGGTCTCTTTTTTAAAAGTTTTGTAGAATCAGCTCATGAACATTTTTTATAACATTTGAGAGCAAGACAAATTTTCCTACCAATATTTAACATGACTAGGAGGGGCATTGCAAGATTGGTCTTATTTAGAATGGACTTAGTCTTGCCCTGCACCATGTTTGTTTTATCTACTGTGTTCTCTGACACCTCCCTTTCTTGTAGGAATCTGTGATCATCTCCTTTAAATGCTGTTATTTTGAGCTCCTCTTTTCACTTGTTGTTTCACCAGCCAATGACATAAGGGTAGATTAATCATCTACTTCAAGGTAGCTATTAGCATAGGGAATGAAACATTACATTAGGCAGGAAGAAGACAACCTCTGTAATTTTCTTCAATTTACATAGGGAGGGGCTAATCACTGTCACAATAGACGATAAGTTGTTATGACATTTTGCCTGAAGGTGTTAAGCTTCTTGGAAGTGCTAGTAACAACTAAATAACCCTGAAAGGTTCCTTCAGCAACTTCAAACTCTGATTTAATTTTCCCATGACTTTCTACAAAGCCCCAAGTTGTATACTGGATAATTCATAGTGCTTTCTATCATTGAATCAATGCATTTCTACTTTCAAAGCACTTGGAGGGTATGAAACAGTTGCATTCAAGATGGTTGAGCCTGCACATTCTAGAGACTTAAATTTTTGTATGCAGGGCTTCTAGTTAAATTCATGTATCATAAAATGCTTTCCTTTGGTTGGGCTAATTTTGTCAGGACTTTATTCCAGACATGTAAATGTTAAAGGTGATTTGCTGGGGCAAGGTTTGACTAACTCAGTAACTGTCCAAAAGTTTCCAGTTCTGAAGACGTTCTTATGTATACCTACTTGTAAGCATTCATAGTAGTCTGCATTGCAGAGTAGAAGACAAACTCTGGGTCTCTGTAAACAACAACAACATGTTAGTTTCTACATTTACATACATATAACGTAACGTTACATGGAAACCTGGAAGACGGGAGTGTAGCGATACAGTAAACAGTTCGCGAGGGACATGACTTCACGAAGCAAGGCTCTTCGCGAAAACCGCGAAGTTAAATCCCTGACGAACAAAAATGCATTTACAGTAGTCAACAACAGATGACAAATCAACAGGAATACACATGTTCATCTCCAGGCCATCAAAGACACCTTTGTGAAAAAAATGTTGTCTGGATTTTATTTACCCCCCTCATTTTCATAATAATCTTATTCAGCTTTTACATAAAAAGTTAAGATATCCTTTATTAGACTTTAATAACAATTCTTACATGTCTGTTATAAAGGAGGACATACAGGACATCTTTCTTAGATGTCAAGGTCCACTGATACCGTGTCCACTATAATTAGCCAAATTAGGCTAATTTCTTAATTGGATTAAATGAGTTGGAATGGCCTATTGTCACTCCATAGCAACTGAAAAAACATGTTATTTGCTGCCCAGTAATAACTACGCCACCTAATTACAGTTGCATGTAGGTTATGCAAATGATTTCTCAGTAACACTACGCCCAAACAGTACAGTATAGCACACCTAGATGAAAATAAATTCATTTGTAGAAAAAAACTTTGAAAGTTTGAATCTATATCATTCAAAACAATGATCAGGTGGGCAGAGTATATCCTACTTTTGTATATCCTGTGTTTTAGATGGTGATTAGTTACAATTCCCTATGGACAAGGCAGAGAAATTCATTCAAAGATTTTGATGTTGTAGAGTTTTCAAGGTGGCTGTTACAGAACTATAACGTTAACCAACAACAAGACCTTTTCTGAGACAAGACAGCTGAATTTTGTATGAAATATCTGCAACTTCAGTTTGGACTTGATCGTACAATGATTGTACAACAAATGTGAGTCATTATGTGACCAGGGCCTTAGCTGGACCAGGGTGTACCTGTAGAGGCACCCCTCTCCCTTCCCTACCGTTTGTCAGGTTTGAAGGTGAGCCTGCGCACGTCCTTGAGGTAGCCGTTCATGGCCTGCTCCATGGTGCTGAGCAGGGTGTGGTCCTTCCCGATCAGCTGGGCCGCCCGGGGCTGTGACGTCACCAGGTTCAACCACGCCTCGATCGACTTCGGATGGAGGTTCTGTCACACAAGGGAAGGGAAATTTTCTCTGTTGTTAGCTGAACTATACTCCAGGGAATACACTACTGTACGAGTACATTGTTGTAAGTCTGTTGTCACTGAATGAAAGTATATAGACTATATATAAAAGTCAAAACACTTCTGGATGTTTTCAAGGTAATGAAGGCCATACAGGACTATCTGTATCTGTAGATGTATAGCTAGTATTAACTACCCATACACCAGATTAAAACCATGTGGCTGGTTAACACTACCATGGCAATCTAAAAACCAGGTGCTTAAGGTTTTAGGACAAAGACAATCCATTGGAAAGTATGTCATGTTCCAACAGTACAGCAGTTTATGTGTTTGTTTTGTAGAAAATGCATGGTATCTATTTGAAAAACTCAAAAAGCTTTTTAAAAATTCTTACCAATCCATCCTGGAAGATCTCCATTGAGCCATCATGCCCCTAGAGAGTATAAAGAATTGTCATTCAACTTGTTGTGTGTACAAGATGGTGAAACCAATATAATGGTTGGAGATAGAAGAGACACCTTGTGACCAAAAGATAAACTGCAGTGTATCAAACCTGGTACACACTAGCCTGAGTGTCAGCCTTGTTAGCTTTTGTCCGCTCCCCAAGATCTGCTCCCTGCCAACATGGAGCGGGGAGCAGATCTTGGGGAGCGGATGAAAGCTAACAAGGCTGACACTCAGGCTAGGTACATACCATACATCAATCTAATACATGTACTGTCTTACATTTTATCTGCACATTTGAAAATGGACATGTGAATAACTTCTAAAGCAGATATAGTAGTATTAAAAACAAAAGCATATGGTAAACCAGTAAAAGATATTTTTTCACAAGTACACAATTCTGCCTACAGAATGGTAGATATCTGCAGCTGCTGACCTTGGCAGTGAGGTTGTAGATGTGTCTGGCCAGTGCCTCGGCCAGCACCCTAATGTTCCTGGTCAGAACACCCGTGTCCACCTGGAACCTGAATGAACAAGATCACATCTTCAAAAGCTACCTCCTTGTAACGATTCCTGTCTTGTACACTGATATTCATGCTTGCCCCTTTAAAGCTGATACAGACTCAAAGTTTTTGGACACTGGCAACCATCCCTCTCAATAATACTGCCTTTACCCTTCATATATCCTTATGAATGATGATTTGATAAAAAAGTTATATTTTAAGACACTTTCAATGCTGTAAATCTTGAAGCTTTTGCGGTGGCTTTATTTTTCCAGTTTTCATGGTGACCTCTATGTGGTACATCATACATGACACTGCAAATATGTAGTACTAATGTATTACTACTATACTACAGGACTGTTTCAACAACAAATTTTGAAACAGAGCAAAAATCTCTTTTCCTTTTCAACCGGAAAAACACAAAACAAATACAAAACTAAGTGTATTTATGAGTTCAGCCTGCCATACTTCTGGTCGGTGATGCTCTGCCTCTCCATGGCCCTGTGTGTGGGGAAGTGTGACAGCGAGGCGGCAGGCAGGCGGCGGATACTGAAGCGCTCGTGTTCCCACGCCAGCAGGTCCTCCGCCAGGTTGATCTTCTTGTGCACCATGGTGAAGTTTACAGCAGAAAACTGGGCCTCCAGGACCTGCACAGGGTTGTGGTAGTGTTGTCATTATGTTTACCAAAGGAAAACATACTGTTTTTGCTCTGTTTCTTCTTCTTCCATTCCAAACACTGACCTCTGACCTGATCAATGACCAGACTAGGATTCAGCAACAACAGGTAAGAATTCAATACATGGCAGCAACCTCTACAGTAATGAGATTATGAAGTAAGTCATATAACCTTAGCTGTGTAAAGGTTAGGTTTGACAGGCGTTCAGTGTGATATAACAAGCTGCTGCAGTGCCTGCAAAGCTGGTGTGTTATGTTGAAAGGTGGTTATGTCAGATATACAGAAAGAGAAGTGAAAACTACTCCACATGATGTTCAGATACACAGGAGAGGAGAACTACTACTCTAACTTACAGTCTTGAGCTCCTCCAAGAAAGAATGTAGTGCAGAGCCCTCCTTGGGAGGTTTGGACACATGGAGGAACAGGCTGTCTCCCGAACCAACCGAGTCCAGACACAGAACAAAGGACACCTCCGACAGTAGGCTGCCATCTGACGGGATATACACAAGTCATCAATCAATCAATCAACCAATCAATCTTTATTGAAGTGAATTTGTCAGTAACATACATGAGTATGTATCATACTGAGTTATGTTGAGTTTTATCTAAAAGTTAGCAGAACTCATGAACATGACAATAGTTATAAATGTATATAAACAAACATCTACAGAAGATGCACTGAATCACAGGAAAGAGTCCTATGGTATATCAAACTAGTATAGGTAAGTGCAATAATGATTTGCAGTTTAACCGGTATAGCCAATGTCACAAGCTGAAAAAAGACGGAACAGCAGACAGAAATGTTTTCCTGAGAGTGTTTTGTTGTGTACCTGTATGGTCCAGGTTATCCTCGATCCACCGTTTGGTTCCCTGGTAGTTAAACTTCCCTCCTCCAGACAGCAGGAACAGGAGGTTAAATCTGTACACCGGTCAGGGATTTAACTGTCCACTGGACAGGAGTGGACTATATCACTCTTCTTACAGATACAGAACCAACCTGTTTATGTTGTGATAATTCTAACCTTCTTATATGTACATATTCTTATAACATAGTTATGTAGCAAATAAACAAAACAATTTAGCAACATGAAGGTAAAATCATGATCTAAATCATGAACCATTTTTCTTGTACTCATAACTTTCAGTCAGGAACACTATTAAGGATACTTTGGATGTGTCTTGGGGTTGTCGTACAGCTTGGAGAAGAGGCGTGCCAGTTCCAGCAGTGCTACCATTCCACTGCCGTTACTGTCTGCACCGTAGGACAGGTGCTGCAAGAAAAGAATGGGGAAAATTAGACTTTCCTTTCCAACAATCACTTATGAGTGAACAAGTACAGCAATATCAAAACTTTGTACATCAAACATAGATATGAACTTACTGGGGCAATCCCAAAAGTGTCATAGTGAGCCACAATGGCCACAGTTGGCAGATGTTCCTCTATTCCCAGCCCTGACAGCTTCCCCTGAAACACAGGCACAGATAACATGGTCATTAGCAGTGAGAGAAAAAGGTTGATGATAATACCCATACTTTTCCATGGTGCCCATATACATCAGCCCAGAGTATTTCTTACCCAAGGTTAGGTTAGTGACCCATCTTAAAACAGTTTTTGTACATGAAGCTAAATAATCCACTTTGGTTTGGATTTGTCATTTACAATGAATCTGTCAACTCATACACGACATCTTTTGAAGAGCATCACAGAAGAAATATCTTTACCCTAATATTTTTCCTACTGTTAGGACTGACAATATGAATACCTGGATGCTGGTGATCTGTGCATCCTTGATGGGCGTGGCCTGTGTTGCTGTAGTGACCATCTGGAACCCGTTGGCTGAGGCAGCATGCAGCAGAGCTGTGTGAACCAGTAAACCTCATTAGTCTAGCATCAAAACAGTCATGCATTACATTTAAACATAAAAAACAAGGAAACTTGAAAGGTAACATTTGCAAAGCAAATGTTTGCCTTTGCATATGGTCTGCTCTGTTAATTTTTTACTCAAACACCTTCATATATATGGTCCGACAGGAGTCTAAATCCCTCCTGCTATAGAATTGCAATATTACGTAACCCAACACTAGTTACCATGGTGACAGACGTCTGGTTCATGTCATTGACCTTATTTGCTGGAGAAGAAGAAGAGGAAACAGAGCAAAAACAATACCTTTTCCTTCAGTAATAATAACAAAGCAAATTTATCTTTCCTCTAAAACCTGTACCAGATTTTATGATCAATGTGATCCCACCTTCAGTGGCAGTGGCGGCCTTGTCAGTGTTGGATCCATCCTGGATCGCTGCATAGATCTTGGTCAGGGTGTTGTCTTCCACAGCAAAGTACACAGGAGTGTTGACATCCTGGTCCATCAGGTCGTGTTCAAGTTCTATAAACTCCTGGAGAAAAAGTTGCTTCATGTCTGATTTCATTCTTCTATTACTATCTTGGACATGTAATAAATACTTGATGTGTAAGCATTGACTGCCATATAAGAAACAAAAGGGGTAATAAGGTGTTGTTAGAAAAATGTTCCTTCACATAAGCTACCAGATTGAGACAACATATTTAATCTTTAGTACAGTGTTTGGCTGCCAATGTGGTTATGGTGTTAGGGAGAAAGTTAAGGTACTGGTTTTTGTTCAAACAAGTAGGTTAAAATCGAAATTATTTTTTATTGGTTATAATATCAGAGTCTTTAGGCAAAATGGTAACAATGACCGACCTCCAAACTCTCCTTGGGGACAGTGGACAAGTCATTAGGCAGGAGCACCAAGACGGCCCCTGCTGACTGGTCAACCAGGTCCTTGAACTTGTCCACAGTCAGGTCAGCTAGCCGCGTGACGACGCAGCGCCGTGTCAGCATGCTGGCGCCAAGAGACCGCGCCTCCATGTTCACAATGGCGTTTCTGCATCCTGGAGAACATCAGAGTAACAGTACACTGAATGTGAACCCAAATCAAAATTAGTAATTTACGCATGTATTTCTGTGATACACAGTCCACCCTCTTACCTGCACTTTTATGAAATACATTACATGAGATTATTTTGCATGTTCTAAAATGGAGTAAAAAAATGATTTAACCTTGTGGCCATGTCATCTTCTCTACAACTTAAACAGATAAGATAGAATGTGAATGAGAATTTTTTTAAACCTCAACCACTGACAGTTTTTGTTATTTGATACTGATAGCTTATACTTCATCAGACAAATTTACACAGATTACTACAAAAAATTCATTATATGCCTTAGGCAATGAATAAATTCATGTTGAATGCTTTTTTTTTCTACAGCACTGCAAAAAGACCGCAACCAATGAGTGAAACTAATTTCTGTAAAATATCACTGTACATGGACATAATTTGGAATATGGTATGATGAATTGATTCTCTGTTTTTGTTTTGAAGTGAATTCATTTTCGCATTTTTTGTAGACGTTGATAGTTTGAATAATTCATGAATGACACTGCTAACCAAATGCTCCAAAACGATGCTCACAAATTATTCAAGTTGAAAATGGGCAGGGGGTAACGTTATCTGCGTGTTCTATATAATTTTTGTAGGTCAAAAAAATATTAGTAATTCCATTAACAAAATTTGAAGAAGCAGCTAATTCTAACAAAAACACACGATGGCTTTAATCTACAGGTACATTTTGCTGTTGTTTCCTATCAATAAAGTGGCATAAAACAAAAGAGAATTTTGTATAAAGAAATGATTTTACCATAGCTCGTCCCCTGGAGGTCGAACTGCTGCATGCGGTAGACGGAGAACTCGTGCGCCGCCTCCACCGGATCGGGCGACACGATGATCAGCACAGCCGGCACGAACAACAAGAACGAGATGGGAAACACGCCCCGGAAAATGTCGAACACTTCTCCGGCCTCCTCGTACATTTTGCTGACAGAAAAGACGCCAGTAGAGGAGAAATTACAGCGACTTCATCGACATGTTTCTCTGTCTGCGGAATCTCTGCACGTTGATCTACATAGGAGGGACGCATGCGCACATGCTGTTGGATGTTGCATCCTGGGAACGGGTCAAATAAAGGACACATTTTGGAACAAACCAAAGAAGGAAAAGGGGCGTTGAAAGCTCTGTGTGCTTTTCCGCAAGTCTCACACATTGACAGAATTAAACGTTTCTAAACGTTACGCAGCATTGTATGATTTATCAATTTGCTCTTTATCTTGTCAAACTAGTAAACAATCTGCCCTTTGAAATGGTTCTTCTAAAATCTTTTGAAAGCTTGAGCTTGACTTTAAGAAACTTTTCATTAATCTTCCACACAATTCTGCAGTTTGAAAACTAAGAAAGCTTATCAACCTCTATTCTGGTAGACGAGAGGAGGTCGATGATTTATATTCTTATTCTATATGATACCCTTGCCGCAGCAGAATTGTCGTCTTCACAACTGTCGACCTGCAATGATTACTTTGACAGCTAGAAGTCCCCACTGCCACGTCGTCGGCTGAGACCCAACACATGATGATGGTAACAGGTGCAGGCTTTTAAGTTTCAGGTATATTCATTCGAGTGAGTCGTATGTCTGTCGTGAGATTGATTGAATATACAAAAGAACCATACAAATATGCATAGTCTCAAATAATTAATAAACGCTGGGCGTCATTTATTTGGAACTACAACTTCATGAAATAGGTCACTTGTTTGGAAGCCATCCAAAGAGCACACGTCTACTCAAGATGGCGCAGCCAGCAGACGACGCCAGTTGCGCTTCTGGCCCAAGACTGTTAGGGAAGGTTAGTTGAAATATTCGTGCGCATTAGTAGGGATAGTACATCGTCGCGTGGGACGTGGGACGATTTGACAAAATTTTCTTGACATCTGTACAGACCCGGTGCACCTGTACACTGAAAACAGTGGGCATGTTGTTGATCATTTCCGTTTGCATGACAGGGTGCTAACTCAGCTCGACAAATTTAATGACTTGTTTATCCAAGGATATCCCTATCGGTGGCAACAAGACAGTATCAAATTGGCCAGGCAGTATCCAGTAGCCAGAGAAGGTCCGCGGCCACCGACGGGTGGTGGGGGTAGCGACAAAAAAAAAAAAAAAACAGCCATGTATAAAAAGGTAACGATCATTCCCCCACAAACTCTGCTTGGAGTGTATATCTCAACTTTACTGGGAAACTGGAGCGGATTTCTGTGACCAACTCAAACATATTGGAGCAAAAATAACACAACTTTTACTAATATCTTGTACCCAATACTTTTCTCAGCAGGACGGATACGTTGGATGGGATTTGATCCCCGAACCTCTACTCCTTCACATCTGTTCTTTCCTGGGCTCTGCAGACAAACTCAGGGTATGCGCAGTGTGTTTCCGATGGAGAAACGTAGTCACCGCGATAGCCGGGCTCTGGGCGACATTTGACTTCACCCATGACATATTTGGCATGGCGAAGTATGACAGTTATTTCGAGGCGTGCATGAAAATGTACGGCAACCATGTCAGGACAGTCAGAATGAGCACAGCTCCAGCAGTCGCGGTACAACTACTACAGCTATGCGCTCAGAACTGCCCTGCGATAGAAGAAGTATGCATCGCCTTCGACGTTTCCTTGAGAAGACGATATGACTACATGGCAGCTGTTGTCCACAAGTTCTTCCGCGCAATTGCAAGAATTAGCACCTTGCGAAGAGTGCGCATGCCCGGCCTGGCCGAGTGGGTAGAGTCATACCCGAACGCCCAATCAGCGCCGCGGAGAGAAAGTTTTGAACTTCGATGTGCAAACATCACAGCGATAGGTAAAATCTGCCGTTTGTCGGTCTATTTATTGAGCTCTGATTGTAATACGAAGATGGAAAAGTAATCCAGAAAAGCCATTAATAAATTGATCCAAGGGTACATTTTCTAACTTAAGTTAAGGTGCCAAAATTATCGTACCAAATAAGTGGGCTTTGTGTCCTTAAGCTTGACTGTATTTTCGACACATAGCTTACTTGACTTTTCAATACATGTGTGTATCATACTAGTTTACAAATCTATTTTCTTTAATTCCCTGTATCAATTCTAAGACCTGCGGCGATTCACCTGCAAGCGGGTCCCCCTGCGCTTCTCCGGGTGTCCAAACCTGAGACGCCTCGCTGTCAGCTACCACAACATGGACGAGGAAGGTCTGAGGGACCTGTACAAATGTTCGCTGGAGAAAATATCAGTAGAGGTGATATTATATAGGAAAAATGTTAGTGGGGTGGAAAATTCACGAAAGGGATTTCATTTGGAATATTCGACTGTTTTCTCAACTATCTAAACTGTCTCTAGTTTCAAATGTTTGTCATTGGCATTTACAAGCATTGTACCAATACTTAAAAAACGTTAGACATTAATAAAACGTGGTATGGTTGCACTATATCTACCATTGACATAGGTGACAGAGAAACACAGAAGTGACAGAGAAGTGTTTTCAATGAATGAAACGAGCCGTAGTCACCTTTGCGCAAAGCCACTAAAATCACTGTGATGCAATGAGAACAAAGCATTCCTCAATCGACCTCATAAAATTGACTAGTCTATAATTTTTCAATCCTCAGGTTGATGTTATTGACGAACTGATGGCCACCGCCTGGAGATATCTCAAACATGCGCACCACGGGTTACATTGGCACATGATGTTCCCCCGTGACGCAGGCGCGTTCTGGTTCCCGGATGTGGCGGTGAACTCTGTGACGTGCGAGGGTGGGATAGGGGTTATGCACGTTCTGTTCATGGTCAACAGGAAACAGATTCCTCTGGAGCAGCTGGTAAGATTTAATGCGGTATTCACAGCATTACGCACACATAGGCCGAAGTTGGCGACAGTGAATCAATATGGTTCGAGTAAAACAAATGTTACTTTCCAGAGTGCTGCAAGGTTATATCCGTAGAGTCACAAAGATTTGGTCAAGAAAAATAAGATGAAAATGTAATACATGTAAAAACGAAATGGTCTGACGTGGACTAACCTGACAACGTTGAGCACGTTTGGGATTGTTTTTGATGCTATGTGACCATGAACACTTGGACAACTTGTGTAAGTTATATATAACTGTTATACGTCCACCTTTATTTCGGTACAGAGCAAATGGAAAGCGCTGTGAGAGTACATATATGGGAGGCCAAAAGATTGAGATTAAGGTTAACATTCTTTCAACTACGTAATGGGAAACAGAACGCTTCTGTCTTGACAATTCCTACGCTATATTTTTGCCGGCAGGTTTGTCCTGGAAGTGGCAGGAAGAACCCGAAGCTGGAGGGACTACAGAGAAACATGCTGCGTGTGCTGTGTGCGGTGCGGCCGTGTGTGCGCCTGCGCTGTCTGCTGTACGGTGATGACATCTTAGTGTCTACTCTACTGGCGATAGCAGACATGTACCGCGACTTGGACAAGGTCGGTCCCACTTGGCCTCTACCACAGGCTTCGGGAGGCGCCTGGAAAGAGTAGAGATCGGTCAAAATAGAGAGATAACATGCCGAGGGAGTTGGTCCGCTAGAGAGTACATTTTGCAGCACCCGAGCTGGAGCGGCAAACTGTTCTCTCCAGCAGACCAACTCCCTCGGCATGTTATCTCTCTATTTGGCCAATTTCTACTCTTTCCAGCCGCTTTCCGAAGCCTGGTAGAGGCTAGGTCTCACTTGCTCCCGTTCCCTGACTTTTGCCTGACCCAAGCTAGCAGACGCTGCTTTTGTGTATATATACAGTTTAAATCTGAAAGCACCGTGTGTATAGAAACATTCTGGCGCGGAAGGCGCATCAATGTAAACCTGCAGTAATAACGTACAGACTTGCTCCCCAAAGCACAGGTGGAAGTACAGAGAGTCGCATTTTCCTTGTGCTGAAACTTCAAAATTGAACAATGTAAGCTATACTAAATTTGAACATAGATGCTGGGATGTTTCTTTGCCCCAACCTATTCGAAGTCGCTACCATTCTATATGTTTTCCCCACGTGTTCATTGCCAGGATTGTTTTAACAGCTCTACATACGAAGGGGTGCGGTTGTCTTCAGAAATGACCCAGACATCTCTGAAGTTCCCGGTTTCCCAGCAGCCATCTTGAACATGATCCGGACAACCGAAATCACGTCCATGGACGACCTGGAACACCGAGTGAGCCGCCTCATGGGCAGGCGCTGGGTAACAGTTCCCGATGGATGCTGGGAAGAAACTGTGCGAGTTGTCGGAGATCCATTGTAATAGTATTGAGACGGTCGTTGCATGTCTGTTTTTAGTTTTGTTTGCGAGGTTGCCATATATATTACGTGTACTAGTAGATTCGTGGACTGGATACATAGCAAAAAGGCGGCTCATTGTTAACTCATTCAGACTTTACTAGCTACAATGTCTTTGTGAGTGACCAGAAAAATTGCATGTGTATTACTACAGATGATCTTACTGATAAACTAGTACTACTGGCCATATAACCAAATTTTAAGGTTTAAGAGTGTATCCCTCTGCTGGATTATAACCATTACCTCCATGAAAATGGTGCAGGCCTCAGACAGTACGTGATGAACATATTCTCCAAGTCATATTGCATCAGCCAGTCCTTTCATAAAGACTACGTATGCATACCTCCTCCACATCATTAACGCAGGGCGAGCCATGCTCTTTGACAGCTGTGCGCGGCAGTGTCAAGAAAAACCGGAAGCAGATAAGTTCAACGACCTCACATATTCAGGAAAAATCTGTCTACCAACTGGTTAAGGTTAGAGTCAACTTGTGTTCCCTACGTCAGTGGCCACTGTTTCATCCCCCTCCATGACAACCATTATTAGAGATATGCTTTTGATACACAGTAATGAAATGTCAAGCCATAAAAGAATTCCTCATAGCAACTACCAATCCTTTTTAATTACAGTTTACCGCACGGTATGTCTAACGTTACAGATCTATACACCATGAAAACTGCACACATTGAATGTCCAAACAGGGTGTACACGTACGCACACGTGCCATTTAGGTAGACGTACATTTAATGAAATCGATTCACAGACACGTATGGAACAAATTAGTTTGTGGAAACAAACAATGTCTAAAGGTAAAAGCTTTAGTAGTCCATCTCTTATAGTCCGTGTTATCTGTTCCCCTATCAAAGATTTCCCCATGATGTATCAAATGATGAATTGGTATATTTCAAGAATGTCACCAGGGAACGTACAGCATTCTGAAGAACTGTATGATTTAGACAGGTCGATCTATAAAACAACTACACGCCTAAATTAAAGCAAAGGGAATCAAAATGACACATACAACTTTCAAGAATCACTGTATGATGAAGTAGACGTTAATAAATCATTAAGTAATTTATCCAAAGCTATCGAACAGAATATAATATTTTTTCGAAACTCATATGAATGAATAAGTCCTCAACATGTACAGGCCAAGAAGAAAGGTTTCTAAAGAAGCAAACTGTGGATCAATAAAGCTATCTAATGTTATCTCCCAGTGCTTCTGTCCACATAAATTTTTAAGACATGACACACCTTCAACGGCTCACTCGGCGTCTTCTCCGCTGCTTGGGGTTTCAACAGGAGACATCTTCACTGACCCTGGCGATGTTACGAAAGGCACATTCAGACGGCTTGAGTTCAGTTCGTTCCTGGGGTTCTCTGCAAGTCTTCGGCTGGCTGCCCATTTAGTCGGCTGGTCAGTCCGATTGTCTATACTTGGTCCAGCAACAGCGTTCACTACTCGCGCATCTCCCACAATCTTAATGTTGACCACTTGATTCGATGACCACCCCACCTTTTCCCGAACCGTGCTAGCGAGTCGTCGCGCCTTACGATGCACGGCTTCCCGAATCTTCTTGATCCTGAGCGCGTATATGACCGGGTTGACCACCGAATTGCAGAGTGCGATCAGCAACCCCCAGTTTGGCTTTGATTTTACCTCACAGTCTTGTCTCGCAAAGCACATTAACTGCCGCACACCCCCGACGCAAATCGGCAGCCAGAAGACGACGAACACTGCTGCAATGATAATAACGGTCACCTGCATCTTCAAACTGTTTTTGAGTTGCTGGTATTGTCTGGCCGCGACTCGCTGTTCCCTACGGCGTGCTGCGGGCAGGTTGTCTTGCGGGTTTCCGGGGGGCTTGGTTCTGGAGAAGCGCTGCTTCAGTTCGAAGAAGATTCTTGCGTTGACGAAGACCACTACCACCACGGCCATCAGCAAAATGACGTTGAAAAGAATCAGGTAACTTACGGGCAGGTGATTTATGCAGGACTCTGTGTTCATATTATGGCAGTTCCAGCCCATGAGAGGAGACAGACATACGAACACACAGGCTGGCCACGCGATCCCCAAACTCACGGCAACGTGTCGCCCAGACATGCGGGTCTGGTAGAATATCGGGTGGAGGATGGCCAGATAACGGTCCATGGACAGGAGGACCACGCCAACTGCTGATAAGGCCAATACTAAAAAGAAGGTACAGTACAAGCCAACCATTGTCCATGGTCGATACAGTTCCAGTTGGACATGGGCGCAGAAGAAGAACGAGAACAAACCCGCCACGCAGTCCGCCGTAGCCAGGTTGGCCACGAACAGGAACATGGGTTTGGACAGGTGATGGTTTTTCAGCCCTCCGGACAGGACCACGACGTTCATGAGGAGAGCGACTGTCCCGACAGTTGCTGAGACGATCCCGACTTTCTTGTTCTCGTCCACATACGGACTGGGGAGGATGAGAGCACGCGGCTACAGCCAGGTCGTACTCCACCTTATTTTTCATGTAGGAGGAGAAACACGGCCAGAAAGCCTCGTACGCCGTGGAGTTTCCTCCAGTGAGATTCGCCGTGCTGTCGTTCATTTTGCGTTGTTCACTGAAGACAAATACGTCGATTATGGCAAAAACGCTGATTTGGGGCTTTCTACCGTTTTCGTATAGAACTAGATGACTATATGTTACCTCCGATAATCTGTCGGCCGCGCCTAGTACTACCTACAAACTGGTTAAGCACTGACTTATACAGGTGATTGGTCGTGACGTCAGCGTTACCGTAGTTTCGCCGCCCCTAGCTACCGCTAACGTTGCCATAACATCCCTGCTTGACGATATTATTACCTCCATGAAATGTGTCATGGAGGTTATATTTTCAGTTGCGTTTATCTGTCCGTCTGTCTGTCTGTCTGTCTGTTGGTCAACAAGATAACTCAAGAACGCCTGGATGGATTGGTTTCATACTTGGTGTGTTGGTAGGGTGTGACGAAAACTAGAAATGATTAGATTTTGGTCCCCCTAGTGGCTTCCCTTGGTACTGCAGCGCAACTTCCGGTTTTGATATCTCGCGATCTGGACATGCTGGGGTCATGAAATTTTGATGGAAGGTAGCTCTCGTGCTTGGGAAGAAGTCACATGAGTTTGGGCCCCCTAGCGGCTTGTCTGGAACTGCAGGGCTCTTTCTGGCGAAATGTTTAAAAGCCAATAAGTCCAGACAGGAACAACATATTTTCATTATTTTTGGTGTGTAGGTAGCTGAGAGAGAGATGTACACAAATAAATGCAAATTATGCAAATGAGGACTTTATTTGCATAATTAATGAGGAAATTCTATAATTACAGTGTTTTACATTATACTACTTACATACATGTAATGTATGTAACCTATGGCAGACGGAACTTCAACAGATA